AAAAAAACCAAGAAACGTAGACTCTTGGTATTCATTACACATAAACTAGCGAGCCCCAGAATGAGAAACAAATTTTAATCATTATTATTGACGGATTAGTAAACTTTTTACACGCTTTGGAAAATCTCAGAAGTTCGCGGTAGTCACTTTTCGGTAAGGAACTAGGGGACTCGGTTATTGTATCGAGGGGGGGGTCGAAACGATCGCAAAGGCGGTATACTACGTATACGCGCCAAAAACATATGTAAAAACTGTAACGAGAAATACTAAAGAAGAAGGAGTTCGAAATATTAGCAGATGAAAACACAACGACCAAGCTTTGAGGTGGTCTCGAAAGCAAGTCCATAGAACATGTATATGTATTGAGAGGATGTGGTAATTTTTAATTTGATAACATACGGAAATTTTAGAAATATACTTAAAATTACGTATTCTAGTATGACTCGCCACTTTCTTGGGCGTGTGAGTTGGATGAAGATGTTTTGTAATGTTGTAGTATGGCGATCTTTTTCTCAATAAAAATTTATTCAAAGTCATCTCGGAACCGGCTTTATCACCTTTTGTTGTGGACTTGTCCCCTGATTAAAATTTGACAAGCACTCTAGGTACCTGATTAATTTTAACCGCAAGTTAAGATTCTTAGCTCCAACATTTTCTACTAAAACGACCGAAACCGTCGTCTGAACCGCGAATGCATCTTTTCCTAGCATATTCTTTGATGTGGTCTTAATTTTCAATCGTGGATAAAATTTAATTGCTGGATGGATCAAAGCTTTTCCAATAATAAATTTAGAATTTTTTTAGAAGTGAAACTGTGGAAACAATAACCAGTAAGAGACTCAAATTATTCTTTTTTGATGTTGTTTTTAGTGTGGCATATCTTGAATAGTGGAACAAATTAAAACAAGATCAGATCACTGATCAGAGGTTTTCTAATATCGCGATCAGATCTCGAACTTATGTATTTAATATTTTTTTTAGTATTGAAACCCTCTCTAAGGACGTTTTAAATTTCAATCCAATTACTTCCCAGCATAGATAGATCTTTCATCTGTGATTTCCTGTCATCCTTTTTTTTACGAGTTCGGTATGTATCGTGCATCTTTATTTCACAAGTTTTTCAAATGTTTTTAAATAATCCTTCACGTATTTTCGTTCGAAAGGAGTGGGTATGTGTATCCAGCTTATCGCCATTACCTCGTTTACCGCCCGAACTTTCTTTTATCATTTAAAATTCCTTCATTATTCAAAATTACAGATTGAAAGATAATATATAAAATAACAGATGGCAATTATATAAAATAATGAGAAGAAGCCATTGTTATTAGACGGCAATTAATTAAAAGGATATAGACCGCGCGAACTTGTCGCAGTTGTATTGAATGAGATTGAACTACTGACGAAGCGCACGAAATGAGATTGAACGAGACGAGTTCTCGTAGCTTGAACCTGTTAACATATTGTTCGAAAGACTCGCAGACTGTGGAATAACTGTGTCAAGTAATAATTTATGTTACGCTTAAATATAGTGTATGTTATGCTCTCTACTTCTCGAGTATTTATTATTTCATCCCCAAATCCCCGGACAGCACCTCCAATTTACGAATCATCTTCCCACTGTACTGGTCAAATTTTACAAATTTACCGCCGTACAAATTTTAGGGTCAACTCTTCCTGAGATTATCTTCAATCAAAAGCTTTGTACGTGAGGGAAGGGGGGGGCAGGACTTCAGTTTTAGAACAAGTGATGTAGCCTTAACCACGGCACCTTCTCAGGGACCTTAAGGAAATATACTACTACTTTACCATGGTAATCGATATTATTAGTTATTAATTTGCACGTGGTAATTTCCTGGGAGCCAATACACACGTCAACTGGATGCCAAGGGGGGCAGCCACCGGGGGTTGGGTTTCTTGGATGTCACGTGGAGCACCCCCGGAGGCTGGACTAATTGGATGCCAGCGGTCCGATTATTGAAATTGATAGACAAAGCAATAGACAAAGAACACAAAAATGATTTGGAGAGATCCTATTGGTAGAAGCGCGTGGTTGCAATGGACAAAGGAGGTAGGTCATCGACTAACTAACGGTAACCCACGAGAGACCCGACAGTTAGTCTATTATTTTCCCCCTTAGTCTTTGAGAACCACCCATTTCAACCAATAGGATTGCTTTATACCCCCTATGTCTTCTTTGTCTATAGCTTTGTCTATCAATTTCAATAATCGGCTCGCAGGTTGGGCAGTTGGGGCACCCGCGGAGGTTTTGTTCCCTAAAAAACACGTATCACACTGCTGAATTTCGTACCCTGTTGCCTGGGTCAATGATTTGCCTTCAACTGGCCGGGTATGTAAAATGACTGTCGTGACGCACGAATAGTGGTATCAGACTTTCGCATTAAGATTACGCAGTGGGTTGAAGGCGCTCTTCTGCATATTATCTGAGTGGCCCTGTACAACGATGCCGACCAGAAGTGATCAGAATTTTGGACTATTAAGTCGAATTAGGATTATTTTAAGCACTCGAGCATTTGAGGACTTCAAATTCTACCTTGATTTTTTAAAATAATGAGTTGTGGATGAGAATCCTAAGATATCTCTCTGATTCTTTGATATTTTTAAAATAGTTCTGAGCCATTTTATTAAATAATTTTTTTCTTTTAAAAAATGATAAGTAAAAAAATTCTAATTTTCAGAAAAATGAAAAATACAAAAAAATCGTAAATTTACCGGAATTGCATCTATGGATACCAATTTCTTAGAATATGAAATCAAATACGCTGCTGAAAAATGCTTGATAAAGTAAAAAATGCTTCGTAATATCTAGAGCTCCTGCAATTTTTCGATCTCCAAGCTGATTTTTTACACACATACACACCCTATCGCCCTCACACATGCACAATTCATAGACAAATCAATTATAATTTACCTTTGTGAGAGCGCCTGGACCCTCCGGCCAAAATGATTCGCCTTTATACGGATCAAGAGGGTAAGAACGTTCAGCCGATCGTTCTCCATGCCGATGAATCTGTATGGGAAGAAAGCAGATTTTTTTTTAAATAAATCATTCTTATTTTTGTTTTTAAAGGCATTTATCCAACAGATATTCTTGTCGTAAAGGTTCGATCTTGACAAATTTTGAAACTTCACTTTGGAGGTATAAAATCATGCTTCTAATGAAGAGGTGTAGGTGCTCAATCTCAGCGGCAAAGCGTGAATGAACAATTATCGATATTTCACCTTTTATTATTAAACCGTTCGTTGCGAACACTCTATTTATCGATACTTTTCCATAGGTACATGTACATGTCATGTATAGGTACATGTCAGATCGATCGATGTATCGCAATGCACGCCACGCCACTGCGTACTCTTTATGAAAGGACCAACTTTTTCACAGAAGTTTTCAAAGAACAAATTGAGGGGAAAACTTCAGTGCTCCTGTCCCTGCTCAGGCTTTGTTCTTTTACTGTTTTATTATTTTTTTTTCTGAACTAACCAGAAGTTTCCCTAAAAAATTGCAGTGAAGTAGTTTAACTCATTCGAGCAATTTTGCAGGAAAATTCATTGATGTGTTTTGTTTCGTTTAAAAATAAAATAAAAACAAAACATAATCTGTAACCTTGAAACCTTGCAATGAAAGTACGCAGTACGCATTTTCCACTTTTAGTCATTGATATGATGATCAAAGGGCGGTTGAATTTTTGGTGTTTACTTATTCACTGAAAAAAGTGACTTGATTTCAGCAGCAATATTCCTGAATTTTAAACTCAATAAGAAATGTCTCTCAAATCAAGAGGAAAATACGCTTACATCAAGAAGAAAATTACTTGGAGCTTGCTTGATTCAAGCAATTCCATTCTTGATCAAAAAGTAGAAATAGCATTTTCGTTACGATCAATCCTTCTCACTTTTTTCAGCGCAGTTGTATACACTTATCCCCAAAATTTACTCCTGGGTTGAGATCAGAACTAACCTCAAGTTTATAAACAATAATAATTACGTCAATATTCGATATTCATGTAAACTTATAAAAGGTTTCAGATCTCGTTCCTGTCTTTCTCTCCTAAAAAATAACAGAAAAATCACACTTACATTGTAGTTAAGAGCTCATTTTTCAAACTTTGATATAGCTCAGACTTTGATAAGTATTTGAAGAGTTTATTTGGTTCCAAGTATTTAGTCTAAAATTTAAGAGGTCTAAAAATAAATAAATTCACTCACAATACTGACGAATCGTAAGGTTGGCTCAGCCGCGGGACTGCGCTTTAAAATGTAAAATCCAACACACGCTGAAGTAATAGATATCACCAACACTATCACCAAGAATACACCCTTTTTACGGGATTTTGTGCAAGTTCTGTTTTCAGCCGTACCCATTTCGTAACCGTAAGTGATGTACTGTATTCGGGTGTGTTTTACTACGCGAGCCTAAGGAGCATTTAACGCATAAAAGGTGAAATAGTTACGGAAGAATAAGCTGTCATTTTAAGAAATGATAATCATCACTTTTTCTACATAAGCGCCTAATTCCTCATATTTACCTCCATCACGTGAAAGAAGAAGCCGGCAGGATTATGCCTATCAAAATTTTTTGCGTGAAAACATGAGGTTGTCGGCCAGACAAGCACGCAGTTGTCATTTGCTGCATGGGTGTATGAAATACTGTATTAGTGAGTATAGAGTGTATTAACACTCATTAGTATGCAAGAAAAAAATCGTAGCGAATCGATTTAATTCCTCAATTAGCAGTTTAGAGTGGGGCTTAAGATAGAGGAATAAATCAAGTGATGAGGTTTAAATTTGTGATAAGATACAGCCACACTTCTTTTTTTTTCGTAAGTTTAAGGCATTCGTTAACAAAGTCTCCGGAGAGTAAAAGATACCTCTAACTGATACTAATATATTTAACAATTGAGACCCACTGGAGGGTATTCTACACATCCGATTGTTGAAATTATTGCACGCACAAAAAGTTATCTGTAGCTGATACTGTTGGCAGGTTGGTATCTTCTTTCCGCGGCTAAAAAATCCCATTTTAGTACAATGAAGTGAATGTAAGTCCCTGGTGGTGGATGGAATAGTTACCTTTTCGTTTTTCAGTGCTTTTCTGCTCATTAAAGTAATTTCGCGCTCCCTCAACCTAATGAGACCGTCACTTCATGCTACATAACATTTACAGACAAATATTTTTCTCACAGCCGTATTTTCAGCTGTTGGTGGTTATTCCAGCTGATTTAAACTTCAAATTATCTTAAATGTTTGAATTTGTAGTCCCTGAATTGATGTTGATACAATTAATATAAATAGAACTAAAAGTTTTAGCTCAACCTCAATGTGTCGGCCTTTTTAAAAATTGACTATTGCTGGTTAGTAAGATACTACTTATTAATATCACCGCAATGGATTGTATGGTCAACTTAATCAAGGCGTATCGTGAGAGGGTGATAGGGGAGAGGGAGAGTGCAAGGGGGGATGGGGGCGTCTATGAGAGAAGAAGTAAAATGTCAAATAAGAGACGATGTACATTAATAAAGGGGTGGGCGACGAATGACAAATTACTATTTGCAAGAATTGGAGGGGACGCCTTGATTGCATTCGAATAGAAATGTTCAACGAAAATTTCGATTCCATAGGGTGTAAAGGGCTCACAATGCTTCTCATATACGCTGATTAATCAACATTTGAAGAGTCATTCATCATATTCAAGTATTGCTTCCGAGTTTTTTTTATTTTCTTATTTTCGTTTCTTTTTTAAACAAATATTTGAATACACATGCAACTGAATTATTATTTGACTAATAATGATCGATGTCAGATGCGGACCGCCAGGATTTCTTTACACGATTTCGCATGATTTGTCAAAATCCTCGATGACTGCACCAATTGAAGCAGATGTAAACGTTGTGATGTCGCACATTTCATCATTCTCTCCGTTCTGGCCGTCTCCGCAACCTTCAATTTTCAGCACTGTTAAATTCTCATCGGAATAACTATTTTTGTACATGATCTGGAACAACAAAGCAATATTTCCTCGTTGTAGAAAGATTTAATCCTTGGCATCATAATATGCATTACTGTGAGGTATTAAGAAAAAGCTCTGATTTCTGATTATATTTGTTGCAGGCAATTGATAATCGCCGGAAATTTGCAAGGCACGAGTGAATTAATGGGAAAGTACACAGTTCAAAAATAAGGGAACAAGCGTAAAGTACTGATTATTTTGTCGTTATTGTGAACACATAATTTTTGATTCGTAAAACATGGTCGTGACAAAAGGCATACTCTGAAGAGCATGTAATGGAATTCAAGACCTTGGTTGGGTTTGGATACGAAAGGCAACTAAACTAACTCTGCAACAATGCGTGTAGTATCATGAAGGGTTTCAGGACATTTTGTCAAATATTTTTTGTCCGCGCACCTTTTTTGTCCAGTAGTTTACGCCCACATGTAAAATAAGCAACAGTGACTTGGTCCAAGCGTTATATTTTAGTCGGTATGTAAAATTATATTCACAATATGGAACTGAGAAATTGAGAGAGAGGGAGGTGTTGTTATGGTTGCTCATTTTCTAAATGTAATGTTATTGCTTTCTCCTTTTGAATCATCTTTTTAAATTGTCATTGGTGAATATTTGGTTTTATTTCTATCCTTAAAATATTGAATGTACAATATACCTTTTATATGACGTATAGGTACTTTGTTTTCTTTTTTCTTCAAGAAATTATTACCTCATTTTGAAAACATTTATATTTTTAAAACGTGACAAATATTTGTAAAACCTTTTCCAAGCGACATTAATCTCAATGAGCCGCAGTTGTGCCAACAGAAACTGAAAAAATGAATAAAAGAGGGGAAAAAACCAAGAAACACGCAATCTTTAGTTTTAACCCATTTGTACATCGATCTTTTAGAGTCAAATACGTCAAATTTTGAGCATTTGGTTTCGCGTACACCTCGCTGCAGCACAATAAAAACACAAAATGTAAAAGAAAAAATTAAAGTGCTTTGGAAATCATTAAATTTGACACGGAACCACCAATATATAAAAAGCACACATTATATTATTATTCTCCTTTGATAAATTGATACATATTTTTCTCCATCAATTTAAATGAGAATAATCAATGCAGAGTGTGCTAAAATTTCAAACTCATGAGTTAAAAAACGCTGACTATGCTAGTATGAATACTAAGCCGAACAGAGCGGAGCGGCGTGCTGCCAGCGCGAGAGGGTCACTGGCGCCTACAAACCTAAGTGGATACTTCACGCATTGCACACTGCTTGAAGTATCCACTTAGGTTTGTAGGCGCCAAATGCGCATCTCGCGCTGGCCGCCTGCCCACCGTGCGGCAGCGCCTGAAGCAAGTATATCACAACAGAGGTGTTGCACAGTATTATATGAAATTGAACGCATTAAGAATGACAAGCATCCTTTATAAGTACAGATCTTTCCTCGCAGAATAAATTAAGATACTTATCGTACACAGGAAAAATCTGAGAGTCTTATATGAAAGTAATATGTAAGTAAAGTCTTATATCACAGTATTATATGAAATTGAACGCATTAAGAATGACAAGCATCCTTTATAAGTACAGATCTTTCCTCGCAGAATAAATTAAGATACTTATCGTACACAGGAAAAATCTGAGAGTCTTTAGCTGAGGCAAATATAGAGGTTTATCCAGTTCAGGTTTAGCAAGGTGGAAACTTCTTGAAAGATAATTAAGTCCTGTTACACAAAGAGGTGTAGAGAGTTTTAGTGAATTTTGTATCATGGAATTGACGCTCCCCCATTTTTACCAAAACTCTCAACTATATTATTCTCCGTTAGACCAAACAGACAAAACAAAAAAACAATCAAACCCTCATTCTTCCAAGACATTATATATTTTCATCCAAAAACGTCGTGAGCAATTGTCGTTTGTATTTACATGTGGGCCAATGAACTTTGGGTCTCAACTGGCACGTGGACCAAAACTCCTTTGCCGAAAAAAACGCGTGGACGTAAATTACTGGAAAAAACAGGCGCACGGATAAAAAATCGTTGACGAAATGTCCTATAACCATCATGAAGAAATGAAGGCGCTGCAATCCGTAAGCTTGCCTTTGAAGGCTATCACCCATCTAATCTTTATTATGCCGATGCGTACGTACTGTTGCAATTTCTGGAAACAACATGTAAACCGCTTGCAAATTTTTAGGTTTGTTAGGTTAATCATTAGGTTGGTTTTTTACCGGAGCGGTTCATTGAAATTTACCTTCACTCGATATTTGTCACTAATTTCATGGAGTTCAATTATTAGCGCTGCTCCATAGGAGGGTCTTTCAGTAATTTCAGGCTTGATTTTCAGGCCTCGCCATAGGTACACTAAGGCGAGATCGCGTGCTGAATACAAACTCAATCGGGACTGAGAGTTTCTCTGCGGATCAGCTTTCCGAAGCATATTTGATAATATTTCATTTATGAGGACACCTGTTGAGGCAAAAGAGAGTAAATTAAAAGAGATTAAATGAAAATTTACCGAGTTAGATTTCGGGAGCACACTAGAACTACGGATATAGAATGATTTGAGTAAAAATGTACGAAGCAATATTTTCACAAAAAAATTAAGAGATCCTTAAAAAATTCCCTGCAATTTTGCAAGAAGACGTACCTAGGTAAAGATTGCAAAGTAGTGAAACTTTGGAAACATGTTTGTTTATTTTGTTTCTATATTAAACGTAAAAGACTAATTCTGTATAATGAGCTACCGCTTAGTTAAACTAACAAATCCAAACCATGGACTGATTCAGACCTATGCCACACAAACGTACTAAGTATGACTTATAGTTATCAATTTATTTGGAATGGCAACCCTGAAAAACGAACTTAATTGTTCAGATCTAATTTATTGCAATCAAACCCGTGAGCGTGAGCTAAAACTTTAGGGGGCGCAATTTTAAAAACGAAAGGAAGGTCAAGTCCCCCCCCCCTCCGCCGAGAAGGGCGATTTTCAAAATTAGAGATACTCGTAGTGACGCTATTTTCCGTTGTTGGCATGGTAAAATATAACCCTTTCTCTTTTTAGTTTTCGAGTTTAAAGGTGAAGAAATCTCCCTATCATCTTCAGATTGATCTTCAGGGAAGGGATGGGTTTTATTTCTCCCTGTCAAACCTTCAAAAATATTTACGAGACGCAGCGCAAATGCATTCCAGCTACTAATACCAGCTGCTAATATCTCTCTGATTAGTTTTGATAATCCGAGAAAACTTGGGGGGGGGGGGCGTTCCCATACACACGCCGTCACGACTCGAGACGTGTCCCAATGGAAAAGAGTTGTAGTGACTTTAATAATATAAATTATTTTGTTCCGAAACAACATAGCAGCAAAGGTGCCGGACAAAAGTGACATTTTGAAATTAGAAGGTTACAGAGAGGAATAAAAGTCAATTTAAAATGTGCCCCTTTCTGGCTCAATTTACCATTCATCAGAGTTTTCAAAGTATCTATTTTTCTGGTCTTAAATATATTCCTTAAATATCGCCTTATAATCGTAAAAAAAATTGTTATGGGTACACTTCGAAAAGGGCGCGCCAATAGCAAATTCTGATAATAAATAGGTAGCATTTCAAATACTCATTAGTGTCATTGAGAGAAAAATTATGTTGCAATTTCATAAAAAAAAATTGATCGGTTAATACCAGATTTTAGTTTAATCATCTCGGGTGGTGCAAAAAGTCGTAAGTTGTCAATTTTTGCGAGTGATTGCAGTCTATCCCAGGAGTCACCCTGTGCCCACTTTGGCAAAGAGAGTCCTTGCTCTTGCTGAAAGAAAAAAATGTTAAAGAGGAGTGTCATGAAAATAATGCATTCGGGAACGGACGATTCTCATCTGAGACGAATAAAGTATAGGGACATTGAGAGTCTTGCATAATCTGGTTAAGAGTTAGATCGCGCTTTAAAATCACAGATGGATTGTCTGCGCACAGGAATAGCGTGCAAAGAGTAGCCAATTATTAGACTTCGATGGTTTCTAAACTGAAAAAATACATTATAAATCAGTTTAAAAGACCAACTGAGCATCTTGCTGCCATTCTTTGACAAAACAGAGCAAAATTAGATGAACTCTGAGGAGAGGGAACTCTCTATCTATCTCTTTATTCCATTCATATCTCGCATAGATTGAATGATGATAGAATCAAGATTCTAATTACCAACCACTTACTTAGCGGATTCTGATTGTTGAATAGAAAAAAAAATTCAATGGGTCAAACTTTAAATATTGCAGTTATATGGACTCAAAATTTCAGTGCCTGATTCAGTGCAATTTTTAAAACTAAATGTTTAATGAGTATTTGTTCAATGTTTTATGTACCTTAGCAAGTCACACTAACCACGTAATTAATTACCATCTAATGATAAAAAAAAACACTTTTGCCCATGGTTACTATTAATATAGAGTTCATTTTGAAAACTACCCAGAATATCGGTAATTTCAATCATAAATCTTTCTCAGTGATCTTCTTTGCTGATTATTTACAGTATAGGATACAGATATACGTACCGCAACTAACAGATTATCATAGATATGGTAAATGTCGTAGATGGATTCTATTTCCTGGCCCGTGTTCTTTGAAATGTTTGAGACAAACTCATGATTTTCATCTAGTTTCTGTTTAGCGATTGCTTTCCATTCTGTTTCCACTTTTGACAGTAGCGGGCAAGGTTTACGGACAGCAAGAATCTGTAAAGTAAAATCATGAAAAAATGTAAATATGCAGATGCTAATCCATTTGAAACTGCTGTCAACGTGGAGCTGATGAGTTGGATTCCGCAGGATCGAAAAAAATATGCATGTTTTTTTTGTAATTTTAAAAATATATTAATCATTCTGAGAAACACGGTTGTCGGTTCTGCTATGCTCCTTGAACACGTCACAGCGTAAGTTCAGAATGATTATAACAGCACTTCTTCGGTAAAATGTTGAATTTTTCTCCTAATTTGAACGGATGGCCTAGTAGTAGTTTTATCTTACGTGCTCTAAAAATGATAGCTCCGACGGCTAAATTAAAAAATACATATGCTTGAGTGTGACGTTGTATGTCTCTGCTCATACTCTATTTTCAGAAATATAACTCCCAATAACAGACTTGTAGGATCCCAATCATACATCTGTTAGGGCAACCGATCATCTGCTACTCTCCGCATATGTCCATACCAAACTAGCTGCCTGGTTTTGATATCGTGCACTTCATTGTTCTCAACTACCATTATTTGGACGTATTTCTATCAAACGGAACTATGTGCATTATGACGTGAGCTCCGTTATGCACACATTCTTATGGGTCTCAGGGCTCATGTCTGAATGCACGTAGTTCCGTTGGATAGAAATACGTCCATTTCACCCACTCGTTCATTCCGAACGTGCTCTCTTCACGAGATCGAAAGAAGGCGACGTGGACGTCCAGTAAAATGTTGATGGCAGGGAGAAGAGGAGGAGATCAGAAGGTGTCATTTGCCTGATGATCTGTGGGAGGGTCGATGCCAATGGCTATTGGGAGTCGCAGAGCCCTCCAGTGTACTAAGGTAGCGGATTAATATATGGACTGCATTTTGCAATTCAGACCCATAAATTCTGGCCTGATTTAAAAACAACGTATGTACCATTAGTTTCCCTATGTACATAAGTGTTTTTTTTTTCAGATGAGCCAGAATTCATTGTTCCAAATTGCAAAATGCAGTCCATATATTGTTACTTTCCGTCCAAAGTATCACAAGCTCCATGCGGCGTTCCAAAATTTCCGGCGCCATTTTATGTTTTTACAGAGAAATTGTTGGTTGAATCTATTTGAAGAGTTCACTGAATTTTACCGGCAGCACAAAGAAAATTCAGCGAACTTATCGGGCAGCTTTGTTGAACAATTTCTCTGTGAAAAAATGAAGTGGCGGCGGAAAGTTTGAAACGTCGCTTGGCGCTTGTGATACTTCAACCGGAAGGTGATCATAAGTATAATCTAACCAACAATATTCCTTGGAATTATATGTGCTTTTTTCTTTGCATGTCATCGTTTTCTTCTGTGATTGAAGATTAACACTCGGTAATCTGCTATTACGTTATCAGCAAAAGTTAAATACTTCAAAAAAGTCTTGAAGATGGTTCGCATGGTGCTCTGATCGTTCAAAAGAAGTTAGAAAACACACAGAAAATCAGTATCTGATATATCTAAACAAGTTGGATAGTTTTTTCACTGACTTTTTCTTCCTTTTCTGTTCCTCCTTTGGTCTAGTTTTGGTATGTTTTCTCCTAAAATAAATATAAATTAAATTAAAAGTAAATAAAGTAATTAAATCTCTGACCAATATGTTGCGAACTTTTTATTATTTATTTCATCCCTAAATAATAACAAATTCGCAGCATAATGGTCGGATCTTCAATTATTTTCATTACTTTTAATTCTATGTTTACTTTTTAATTTGCTGCTTCTCATATTTAAATGCTAAGCATATTCAAATATAACATGAATAAGATAGATTTGAATCCCCCAAACAGTTACAATCAGATAAAAGGAACCAATGGTTGACCTGAACTCATCGAAAATATAACTTACTCACGTCATCACATGACAAAGGGGCCGTGTGAACAGGGATCGGCTGCCACTTCAAAGCTGTATTCCAAAGTTGCACTCCGACTGGAGGATAAAGTCCCGCTAGAACAAGACTTGCACTCATGAGACACCGATCAAAATCGCTTGAGAGGGCGTATGTTTCCGTCGGTGAATATTTGGCAGAGAGGAACCCATCGTAACGGCGTCGCAAAAAACCTCCCAGCTTGTACATCCCAACTTTTCCTTTCTAAAACAAACGAAAAAGTGAACTGCACGTAGTTTCAATCTTCGACATCTCCTCCACAGACTCCTCTCCTTACAAAGCATTTTAGGAACCAGTTTCCTCATTGTTCTTCACGATTTTAATTTTTTTTTCAGTTTTGAGACCCATACGTTGTTTTATAGCTCAAATCTCATGAACGTACTCATCTGGAACAGAAATATGAGAATGGCCTCTCACAAAGGTCTCAGAGGCAATGTGAACTTTTTCGCACATCAAGGCTAACATGAGTATAAGCATAAGGTCGTCACTTACCAGGCAAAGTATCACAAGCGCCATGCGACGTTTAAAAATTTCCGCCGCCATTTTATTTCTTTACTGAGAAATTGTTGGTTGAATCTGTTTGGAAATTTCACTAAATTTTATCGGCAGCACAAAGAAAATTCAGTGAAATTTTCGGACAGCTTCGTTGAACAATTTCTCTGTAAAAAAATATAGTGGCGGTGGAAATTTTTAAACGTCGCATGGCGCTTGTGATACTTTGCCTGGAAGGTGACGAGGTAGTGATAATATGATCATAGTTGATGATGATGTCATATACTGCATACGCAGTGCATTCCCTCGATGGTGAGAGTGCACTGCTTATGCAGCGCATGACGTCACCATGGCTGTAGTCATATGATCACTACCTTGTGCTTGTGCACTGGTGACTCCACCCGCAATAGACGAATTTAGTGTGACGTCACATCTCGTTATAATTTCGATACCTCGAAAGTCGAAACGTGCCCCAACAAACGAACATGGAGGAATCTGCGGGATATAGGCAGGGGGGGTAGGGGTATTCGCTCGATGGCTGTCTATGATATTACGAGTTTATTTTACAATCAATTCTTGTGATTGTGATCTCAAACGTTTTGGTAAATGAGTAGCTTTCATAATTTTAAAGTCCCATGGATTAATTGTTTGGTTTCAGGCTAGTTTTAGCATCATTTCGTCAATTGTTCATTTTGGAGGTTATGTTTGTTTGTTGGGGCACATTTCGACTTTCGAGATATCGAACCACCAATATCGCTCCGTGACGTCACTACTAAAATCGTCTATAGTTCTTTGGAACATGAGCATGTATACTTGGCTCGTCAGTGTTCAAACATTGTTCATGCATTGGATTAATTTGTCCGTTACGAAACCTTGCATACCCGTCAAACTTCTGAAAGGGACTGAGACATTTCCAAGACATCAGTGGTTATTTCTTTTTTGTGTAATTTAGAAACTCGACTCTGAGAATGTTAGTTGCTATAAAATTTATTTTTGACTTCTGTATGGAAAATGCAGGATTTTATCCACGTAGCATTTCATGATGTACAATGACATTCAACTGCAGTGACTATTGAAGACGGATTAAGTTAGTTGGTTAATTTTACTATAGTCGTTGAGCATACAAATTATTATTTTCAAGTCGTGAAATATATACGTAATAATAAAAGTAGAGTTTTCACAGCAGAAACAGAAGCATTGAAAAAACGGGTGATGGACTCTTCAGTCCTTTTTTATACCTCCACCTACCTTTAATAGGACGCCCAGGCCCTCCGGCCAAAATGATTCGCCTTTGTAAGGATCAAGGGGGTAGGATTCCTGAGGTGCTGTGTCTCCATGGCGGTAAATCTATAATATTCGTGAGAAATATATTTATTACTTATAAAACTAACTTATCCTCCTCATAAAATCAATAAAATGAAAATACACCGTAAATAGTTGGATCACAAATTACGTAAATTACACGCAGAAATATTTTGAGACAAAATGTCCATTTTATGGTTTCAACTTTTCTTTTTCAACTATAACGATTTCATTGTGAGAGAAACTCGCTCTCTGATTCTTTCATAGCTTTCAAAGCTCTTCAGTTCACTCTCGTTGGCTCTCTTAATATTTTTAAAAGCAGAATCGGCTCTAATGCTTCACCTCTCCCTTCCCCTCAAAAATAAATACCTAAATAAAATATCTCAGCTACATAAGTGGGTTATTAGTGCCAATAATTGACCCTTGAAGTATGAAATTGTGTAGGTGCTCTTTGACCGTTTTTCATAGTTTGTTTGAACCTACTTCCTAATTTTAGCAAATATAACAAGTGTAATAAAGACATACTTACTCCTAACTCATACTTATCCATACTTTATCCATTCGGTGCTAAACCGTATTTTTTTTAAAATGGATAGCAACAGTACGGCTTAATATACTGTGAAGGAATTGATTGCCATAATTGATATTGAAAGTCACTGATGCATTAAAATATGAAAAAAGTGTTTTGCAAGTTACAGCGATAGCTCAAGATCTGGTAAGAATTTTCATAGGATTCTTCGAATGTTCTCTATTTCATACAACTAATGCATTCTCGTATCTCTCCCTAGGTTTGTTTTCATTTTTCCACCGAAAAAAAAGTGAAGTTGATTCAACATTCTGGATGTAAAAAAAAAATGTGCGAGAACCAATAAAATGCTTAATTACCCACTATAGCATGTACTTTAGCAATGCCAAGATGTAAAGCTAACTGCTGTGGCGGGTGATTCAGCGTTTTTTAAGTTTTCGCAAACTTTTTTTTTACATCCAGAATATTAAATCAACTTCACCTTTTTTCGGTACACACCTGACTCTTCAACTCTGCGTGTCTTTCGTGCCTGCATGAGTCGTCACCCCTTTGACCTGAGGGCGAATCTCAAATTTTTCGTGGACCATGTTTTACAAATTATAATCCATGTTTTTTGGGCCTTATGTGGAAATCGAGGTATACGCCCTAACGTCAGAGGAGCGACGAGATTGGTCCTATAGACAGTCCTTAATATAATGGACCACTAGACAAGGTACGAATTTAAGCATTCTGACACATGTTTCTCAACCAGAATTTCACGTAGAGCACGATTCGCGCAACGAAAACTAATGAAACAAACTCCAAACGAAGATATTAACGTTTTCATTTCACATTGGTTACGAGGAATTTGAACTGCCCGCTGCCAAGAAACTCAAAGCTCTACGTGAGTCAAATCCCGCACCACAACGGTTTCAACAAGCTTCTCAATCGAGTAATGTTCATTTTCCATCAAGTATTGTTCAAACTATAAGCAATTTGCTACAGCTGAGCCAAAGCGTCAAGATTGAGGTTGCCAGATTTTTATATCGCAGAGACTGTCTTGATAACTTTTAGCGCGCGATGTGAATCACGCGGAACATTGAGTTTTCATGAGCGGGTGGTTTGAATTCACGCATCAAGAATCATTAAATATCTCTGGAAGGAGTTGATTTTGGTAATTTTCGTTATGCGCGTCGTATTTTACGTAAAATTTTAGTTTAGAGACATGTATCAGAATGCTGAAATTCGTACCTTGTCTAGTGGTCCATAGTAGGAAAGTAGATGCTGCACCTCTGAGCTTGTTCAGTACATTAAAACGGATATACTTACAATACTGACAAATCGCAAGGTAGGCTCCGCTGTCGGGATGTTTTGATGTATGAAGAATCCAACACAGGTAGATGTGATACATATCAGCAGCACAACTAGTGTAAAGCCACCCCTTTTCCAAGATTTAGCCTCGGCTTTGCTTGATACCATTTTAAATTTTTGTCCGAACAATATTACGCGATGTGTTGTGCGAACAACTTGAGACGGTGAGAGAAAGAAGAGAGGAGTGACCACTAATTCTTGAAAAGGATACAGTGCGTATCAAACACGTCATAGCACCACTGAGAAAATAAGATTTTTACTAGAGCTGCAAGATAATTCATTAAGGGCACTCGATAAGAACTTATCACAAACACATGTTTTGTAGAGGTCCGTTCTGTCAACGTTTTTACTTTTTTTGCGTTAGTGTTGAAGAGAAGATTCTACCTCCCGAAGGTTCTGGGTTTTATTGAATTTTGTGTTTTTTTGTCATTTATTTTGCGTTATTGATCGTTAATACTAGTTTAAAACACGTTGCTGCTCATCAATGCCTGTAAGAAAGTTGGGCATTCGATTCGATAGCAAAGCAACACACCAAACGGTTAAACTGAACAGTATTGAGCATTGAGAATTGAGAGGTAAATCAAGTGCTCAAGCTTAAATCCATAGTTAGATAAAATTAGCAAAACGTGACAGATTTTGTGGAGTTCAACCACTTACTAATGGAATCCTCAGATAACCAGATAATCTTAAGTGATGTCAAATAAGATAGTATTTACAGATTTTCTTAAATAGCATGGTATCTCGCTGGTGCATTAGTTGATTTGATGCTGTCTCTGATAATTTTAACACTCCTCTGTAGTGATCTATGTAGTCCTCTAACGTGCAGTCCTTTTATTGTAACGGGTGAATTGTAATTATTTAACGAGCTTTTTTTCGATGTATGAGTAAATATTGCGGTATATATTTGAGTATTTAAACATATACAAGTTTATAAATAGCGATTATGATTATTCAGACCAAACAACCATGCAATCTAATAAATGTTTATTTGCCAATTATTTTTTTCATTTATTGCACGATATAGAATATGGAAAAATTACATCATTGTTTTTGCATCTCAGTCTCATGATAGATTCTGTTTGTGTCATCACTTAAGCGGTCATAGAATAAAGTAATACAATGAATACAGTTGAGCGCATACGGCATACCATGTTCCTTCAAAGCGCCCTGAACTCAGAAGCATGCAACAGGTTATACACTGCTGCAATCGTGCTCCGATCCCGGCGATTTTCAGAGATCCTAATTTCGTTCCGTCGTTCTCACAAGTTTTTCATTCTTAATGCTCTCAGATCTTGGACATTCCGAAGACAAGCTCAAGGGAATAGTTTTTGAAGCAGTTATTGTACTTACCACAATTAACAAACTGTCAAATAAGAAGTACACGTCTAAGAGCGTTTTCATTTCGAGCCCAGTGTTGTTTGATAGATAAAATAAAAACTCTCGATTTTAATCAAGTTTTCTTTGCATTATTGAATTCCACTCTGCGCGTTCTTTTGATAATAGTGCACATGGTCTAGCGACTCAAATTTTCTGCAGGGAAAATAAAAAATGCAAGCAAATTCTTATAGATAAGAGGATATCCTACGTGAAGACCAATAAATATTGTCTGTCAAAATATGGCAATTTTATAAAACAGGTTAGTAGAAAGAGACGTAGAAAGCAGGCAAATATCCACAATCCTTCAAGAATTGCAGGCTCGTGGTGCACACTGGTTGGATAAATTGTGTCCATCGCACCGCGGGCGGTGGGTTGGCGATTAAAATGCGCACTGTGCTGTGCGCGCAATGCGTGAAGTATTCCTGCAATCTCGCAGGCGCTAATATGCTTTTAACGCTGTGCGCACTGAATTAGACGCGATTATTCGAGCTCGCGTTAGAATAATCACGGCATCGAATAATGGGGCTTAAAAAGCACATGTTGTGTTTCGACGCCATATGAGTATTCCAACGTTGCATCTTTTTAAGTTAGGAAAGTTCTTTATGTTCGCTTTTTTAGATTGAACGGATCATTGAGCAAGGTACGAAGTTAAGCACTCTGATACATGATTATTTCTCAAAATTTCTCGTTAAACACAATTTGCGTAATATAGACTACTGAAATCAACTCCTAACTGAGATATTAACGTTTTTATTGTACATTGGTTACGGGCAATTTGAAATGCCCGCGGTCACAAGAAAAACAATACCCTACTCACGAGTCAAATCGTGGACTATAACGGCTTGAGCAGACTACTTAATCTTCCCGCGGGACGAACGGGATAACCGATCTTTCACAGGGCGCAAGGGGTGCAGGGCCCACCACGAGATCCCTCTATTTTCCTTATCATCAGGGGACCAGGGTGATCAAGCCAATACCATCCGTGCCCAGATCAGCCCGGCAATCCCCGCTGAATTTTGACCCCAAGGATCGAGCTTATAGAATTATATGCTGTGAGACAAATAATAAAGAAGCAAACAATTTAAATGAACAAGGTAATGGCTTAGAGTAATGTCAAGTAATAAAGAACAGCTTGATCAGCCCAAATGAATAAAGAGGGAGAGAATTAAAACATGGGTAAACAAGGCTGAAACATTAAAAACACTAAAAGGGCAGGACGTTTCGAGTTGTTACCAGCTCATTTTCAGCTGCAAAAAAAGGCACAGAAAACAAGTAAAACATTAAGTAACGACCTGACCTTAGCCGTCAACGGCTGGGGTCAGGTTGTCACTCAATTTTTTCTTGTTTGCTGTGTTTTTTGCAGCTGAAAATGAGCTGGTAACAACTCGAAACGTCCTGCCTTTTAGTGTTTTTAATGTTTTAGCCTTGTTTACCCATGTTTCAATTCTCTCCTTCTTTATTCGTACATTCGGGCTATGTTTTTGTGCTGTATCAGCCAACATATCGAATACGTGATTCTCTGTGCCAGGATGAGAAAATGAAGTATCGATTTATCAGTTTCGAGTCAACCCCCTAAAATATTTGTTTTCAGTCGTGAAAACCCCCTCTAAACTTTTAGCGAGGCGAAACGACACTAATGTGAAAATGAGAAATCTCAGTGGGAAAATTGCACTTGGAGCTTTGTCGCCCGTCTCGGGAGCTTAAAAAGGTAAACTTGTAAAATTAAACAAACACTCAGACATGGCAACGGTCGTAACTTAGTTGCGCCCTGAAGTGTCCATTGTTCCAACGCCCCGGAGCACTCGGCGAGTCCTTTTGTTTGCTGTGACGTCATCGACTCGCGGCGCGCAACTCCTTTGCCTGTGAGCGGGTCTTCCTATTCCCCGTCAAAATATTTACTCTTATCCACTGCCCCAATTTAAAGTTTCAAAGTGACTAGAGAATCCCGTCAAGGAGGAGATCGGATCCCGCGAGCTCACCCTTGACCCTCAGTTGGCAGTCTCTTCATCGACCCGCCTTGTTTCATGCACAGGAACTATCGTAATTGTAGCTAAGAGTGGTTTTGAGCCTCTAGCCATTGTAGGTTACGTTTGAGGTTGATATCGACGGTGAAACTACCAAATCATGTATCTCGTTTGCGGTGTTTAAAAATCTGCGCTCGAATTTTATTTTTTTGAAGTAGACCAAATCAATATCATTCCTTGAAATTTTCACAGAATTTACTCCGCACGAAGAGGAAAAATCACAGAAATTTTCAAGACTGGACGTTAAGTAGTTTTTCATTTAAAAAATAAAGTATGACAGGAAGTCTGCGACATCGCAAACCGAGATACGTGGTTTGGTAGTTTCACCGTCGATATCTTTGAAATCTTGCATTTTAAAAGTCAACATAAACTCGAAAGCCGTACTGCCGTGCTGAAGGAGAACGCCGTATGAACATTCAAGAGTTGCCACCTTCGATAAAATGTTCATTTTTCAGAAAAGTTATGAATATTTTCCCATTATTTTCAGAATCCTTAGGTAAAATTTTGAACTAAATTATCTGAAAAATTTGGAGGGAAATATTCATAACTTTGCGAGGAATTTCGTATTTTACCGAAGAAAATTTGGCAACGCCTAAAGATTCAAACGGCGTTCTTCCTTACCACGGCAGTGTAGCTCTTTTGCCACTTCTCGCCCAAACCTCATAAAGCGCTTTGTACATCTTATATATAGATTTTAATAGTATTATGATCGCGAATGAGTGTCAAAAGGGATGGAAGGTGGATCATGGGTCGTGGCGTGAACGAAGTAGCGCACTGGTTAAGCGTTAAACGACACTTTTGAGATTTTACATAAAAAAAGATCAAATCTCGAAGAGGAGGATAAATTAAAAATGTAAAAAAATTGACGAATTGCGTTTCCAATCATGCATCATCTCCATGTGCATGAAAAAGAGAAGGTCATTGACGTCATACAGCAAAAAACTTTTAAGCATACATTTTTCGTCTCTACTGAGGCAAATTCTGTCACTATTATTACATTTCTAACAGTCAATAGAAAAAATACGGCTCTAGCACCAAAAACCTTAAGGAATTGTGTAATTTATATCACAACCAGGTACGTGGTTTACGAATATCTCCGGAACCAACGAAAACGAGAATCACCTACGAATGTTTAAGTGAAGGAAGGACAAAAGGTCGTCGGTTCAATTGTGTAATCTAGAATCTATTGACGACATCAAATGCTATTTTCAGAGCCCTAAAGAGTGTTTTTTTTTTCTCACAGGACGAATTTCTATTTTCGAATTTTCTGGAATATTGCTGGGAAGAATAAAAGAAGAATTTACAAGACTAGCGTAACTTTCAGGTGTGTAGTACGGCAAGTGAAGAAAAGAACTGAAAACATGCTCAAGACAAACATGCATTTTTGCCGAAAGTCTGTTGAAATTTCGAGAAGAGACGACAACTCAACCATACTTCGGTATATTCTTTAAAACAATAAAGCCTTACTGATCACAGTCTTTTTGATTTCCATCCTTTTTCAGTTTAACAATAATCACGACGCGGCGTCAAATGTTATGGTCCAAGGACCTCTTAAATCCAAGGCAAATTTTTTCCTTTTCGTTTTTCTCTCTTAAAATTTAATGGAAATTTGATAGAATTGATAATTTAGAAATTATAAAAATCTTGGGAGGAAATGATGCTATTGATTATGAGTAAATG